GGCGGGCCGGGCCGGGCCGGGGGGTCGGGCCTCGCCTCGCCTCTCCTCACGACGCCGCGCCTCGCCCCGCAGAGCCCTGCCCCAAGTGCGAGCACCCCCGCGCCTACTTCATGCAGATCCAGACGCGCTCGGCCGACGAGCCCATGACCACCTTCTACAAGTGCTGCAACGCGCAGTGCGGGCACCGCTGGCGGGACTGAGGCCCCCGGGGCCCGGGGGGCCGCGGCGCGGGCCCAGCCTGCTCTCCCCTCCGCGGAGCTGAGGTCAGGGGCCCGGCGCCCGGCCCCGGCAGCAGGAGTCCCGCGGGGATGGGGTAGGGGCGTCTTCTCCTGCAATAAACACTTCACTGGGCCGAAGTAGCCGCCTGCTGCGTGGTTGCTTTAAAACCTGACCCGGGGCGAGGCTGCCGTACGCTGAAAACGACCGTCAGAGCTTCTAAGAGGGTGTTCCTCCCTGCGTTGTGGCCTGTCGGAAAAGGACGTGGGGGGGCTGGTCGACAGCCGGCTGAACATGAGCTGGCAGTGTGCCCAGGCGGCCAAGAAGGCCAATGGCATCCTGGCCTGTATCAGAAATAGTGTGGCCAGCAGGAGTAGGGAAGCGATCGTGCCCCTGTACTCGGCCCTGGTGAGGCCGCACCTCGAATACTGCGTTCAGTTTTGGGCCCCTCACTACCAGAAGGACGTTGAGGTGCTGGAGCGTGTCCAGAGAAGGGCAACGAGGCTGGTGAGGGGTCTGGAGAACAAGTCTGATGAGGAGCGGCTGAGGGAACTGGGACTGTTTAGCCTGGAGAAAAGGAGGCTCGGGAGACCTGAGGGGAGGTATTTAAAAGACGAGCAGATGAGGCACTTAGGGACATGGTTTAGTGGGTGGTGGTGTTGGGTCGACGGTTGGACTCGATGATCTTTTCCAACCTCAATGATTCTATGATTCTATGATTCGGGAAGACGCGGGGCCCTTATTTCACACAGTGCAGCAGGTCTGCTAAAAAGCACACGCAAGAAACTAATTGCCGTGCACACCAAGAAACCAGTGTTTAAAATATAGGCAGGCCTTAAGATAACCAAGCTAAAGAACAGTTAAGCAAACCTTAGCGCAGAGCCAGCTGCTGTGCAAGGGAGCGGAAGGCAAAGCGAAGGTAAAATGTTACCGCAGTGGCCTTAGGGGGAGAAAAAATGAAAAAGGGGCCGTTGCTGTGCCTTGTGAAAACCACGTAAGATAAAGCAGAATCTATGAACTATATGCTCTACAAGCAATTACTGGTAAAAAGACAATATACTTAAAGTGGGATCAAATATTACCTGTGTCTTAACATGAAGCTTTATTCTCAGTTTAAATACATTCAGAAGTAAAAAGGATAAATAACTTAACAAAAACATGATGGGGCAGAAATTGTAACTTTTTATCTGCATTAGCGCTCACTCCTACAGGCTAAACCAATTGAATGTGACTCAGCTTTACCTCTTTTATACAGGGATAATCTGCACCCATTTATTCCAATTCACTTCACAGGGGAACACTCTTCCCAGCCTGAGAGTACAGTCTATCGTAGGCTCATAGTATATTGTTGGGGTTTCGCTCAGTTTGGGATTGTTTAGTTTTTCTTCCACAACTGGCTGAGAAAAGAGCGACACCAGGGATGGCTTTTTCATGTAGAATCGTCTGATGCAACCAAGAGTTTCCAGACCCTGCAGAAAAATTCACATATTTTAGCTTGAGCCGTCGCAGCGAAGAAAAATGCACTTAACGCTATTCTACCTACAGTGTTCTCAGAAACGTTAGACAATGTGTACTAAAAGCGGCTTCACTCCACCCCCTCAGGAGACCATGGGGATGGCAAAGGCTACAGCACAACAGAGCAAGTTCACATAGCTGGATACATGCTCATTTGTCACTCTCGGCACAGTGGCTGACACCTGGATAGTGACACAGAACACGCGTTCAGCAACAGATCTCAACGTTTGGGACCAGGTACAAATCATTTAGTGGTGGTATAGGTGTAAGCCTTCTGGGTCAGTTCTTGCTAACGGGTTAGCATTCATTCCCCCAGCAAGGCAATCTACGTGCTGCGTGTGCTGAAAACAACTGGTGTGCATTCAGTAGTCTCACACAGGTATGCGTCTAGATTTACTCATACTTGGTATGTTACAGATACAAGCTCTGTCCATGGTTTCAAAACCAGTTCTTGTCAAATTTATTGCTAGAGAAGTTAGATTCAAGTTCTCCGATCTGTAAAAAGTACAGGTAATTCCTTGACTTTGTGGATTTGAATAAAAGTTGGCTAGGAATCATCTGTATTGCTCTCCCACATGCGCATGCCTCATCACTATACACTCTGTTCTGCAGTCTTAAACCTGTCTGCTGCTGCTGCCCTGATCCCAGCTACCCTCTTGGCAGTGTTGCTGTGGCACAGGACATATGGGCAAGCTGTGATGGAACACCCAGGAAACAGGATGGTGGCTCAGTGCGTGAGCGGTAGCATATGCGGCTTGCATTGTTACCGAAATGCATGAGCCTTTGGACAGAAGTGTGGCATACATACACTGGAATGTTAATTTCCAGCATTAGTAGGGGATGTCATGCTTACGGGAAGGACTGCAATATTACTGCTATACTTAGGATTTTGAATCCTTATGGGGGGAAAAAACCCAAACCACCCAAGGTTTCATTTGCAAAGTAGCAGTGGTGGCAATCAAACTTCAAGATGTGGGGAAAAAAAATGTGAGAAACTCAATTTTTCTCATCATGCATTGTTTTACAATTAAGGATGTATGCCTTTAAGCAGGTCTGTCAGGACAGAAGGTCTTATTTACAGTACTGTCAAGAATCAGACTGAAATGTGTCTGTGCTAATGTCAAAGACTACCCATCCGAAATGTATATAAGGAAAAAAATAAGATTAATGCAGTGTTAATCACCGTAGAATTTAACAGCCCAACTTAGTATTTCCCAGTGCAAGCCACCATTTCTTCAGTAACCAACTAGAAGTTCAACTGCATGTACATCCATTTCAGAAGCAAGCTCAAAATTTAAAATCAGTAATACAGTAATTCCAAGGAGAGGTAAAGCAGGCTTCCTTCCACCTTCGTTGTGAACAGTAACTTGCTCTGGCTTTGGTTAATTTGCCCTAAAGGGAGAAGATTGTTTTTCACGGTTCATTCACAGTCCCGTTTTCCCAGGGCTTCCAGCGAAGTAGCTGCTGGAAGAAGAACCAGGTTAAGGTTCACACAGCCGATGATTCACGTACCTGCAGTATCTCTAAGACAGCAACAGGCTGCAGTACCCCCATGTAATGCTGCAACAGCATGCCTTCCGTTATGCCTGGTTTTGTCATGATGTGGTAGAGCACAGCTTCCATCATCCCCTTACACACAGGTTTATTCAGATTCCCATCCACGATCCTCCACGGCCTCCCAATGAAGCAGACGTTCTCGCAGGCCCTGCAAAAGACAATTTAAGTTCAGCTCTGTCAGGAATTATTCTTCTAGCTAGATTTCCCATCATCATAATTTCTGCATAATAGAGATTCTTACCGCATCCATTGCCAGTGTTTGCTCACATCCCAGGTGTAAATTCTGCAGCTGCTCTGAGAACAGGCAGAGACTGGTGCTAATCTACTAGACAGTTCCACAGACCTGAAGTATTTCACACTATGTGTTCACCACCCGAGAAGCACTTCTAGCACCATTTATACCACCCAACAATTACCTTGAGTCTTGATGACCAGGAAAGCTTTGTTTCGCTTGGTTGGTTGTTACTAGCTCTAATAGCCTCCAAAAGTTATCCAAGGCCTGCTTCAATCTGCAGCGTGCAGCAACAGGGCTCAGATAGGAAACCAAATTCCTCATTTTTAGCATTTTGGAGTCAAAAGACAGACCTTGCATGGAAATTCACATTTCCCATATTGCAGTTTCTCCAGGCCTTTCCTGGGCACATGGAAGCTGAGACTTTCTGGCATTGGACTTACTTGAGAAAGAAAAATCAGTTTTGTTC